ACTAGCCAGTACATCCCCTATCCGTAAAGTCAAAAAAAAGAATAGACTTGTCACATTGTCCGTACCCACTTACCTTCAGGCGGCTATGACACTAAACTGAACGATTCTGTGCGATGTGCTGCTCTTTTATAGCTGAAGTCTCGCTCGCTTGTCCTATTGCCAACATGCTCTATGTGTTGGCTGCAGTCGCAACCTTAGTTATCACTTGCATGATCCTGCTTATACATAACTTAATACCAACTTACGTGTAGCTTATTACTATGTTTGTTCAAATGTCTACTCAACAGGCACCGAGGTACCGAATCGCCTGATTCAATCACCGTTAGGTACGTGAGTGCTTGTGCCTTTGTGTTTGCATACGCTTTGCTTTGTGTGTTTCTACATGCTTGGCATGTGTGATCGTGCCTTTGTACATTTTATGTATGCAGTTTATGCATTGTCGTATGTTCTTATTTTTTTTTCCTACCTAAGTACTTACTCCTTTAAGTTTTGTATACCCTAACGGTGTTGTACAACTTTGTACTTTGCTTGAAAATTTTATCTGACCTAACAGTGCTTACGCAATATTGTATAATGCTACGCATTTTGTGTCTTGCTTGCATGTGCTTATATATTTTATGCATGGATGTTTATACATGTGTATTAGTTCCTTCTTTTTTTTTGTGTATGGCCTAGCGTTTTTAAATGCATTGTTATGGGTTTTTATACATGGGTATTCCTACATGTGTGTATGTTTTTGTGTGGCCTGATCTTTTTATATACATCGTTAAGGGTACTTGCCTATATATTTTGTACATGAGCGTTTGTACATGTGTGTGACTTTTATATGGTCTAGTCTCTTTATATACATTGTTGTGGGGTTTTGTCGTTTATATCTTTTATACAAGGGTGTGTGTTCCTATGGGTTTATTAACATAGCCATATTCGATATGTGTTTATAATTTTTCTCTTTACAATACATTTGATGCTGGAGTGTGTGTTCCTGTTTTTATTACCCCAGACAGTCGTTCACGGACAGATCGGACTGACGGGTTGTTCGCTGTGGCTAACTGTCTTAGGCGGATGGACTTGTATTTCGTAAGGAAGCAAAACGCTTCCTTACAATAGGGGCAATATTTATGTGTTGTGAAAGATGTTGTGTTGAAACAATATTGGAATTATTTTATCCAAATATCCCCGTCATTCAATTAGGCGATACATATGAGCGGATGTAATCATTTAATGCTCGGTGGTTGCGTTCCACCATGCCAAGTGTCTGATGATGATGGGTTGTTGATGTTATTTTGCCAATTTTATTATACTGACATAGATCGTTCATTAGCGCATTTTTGTATTCGGTTCCTTGACCTGTAACGAGTGTTTTCATGGGTTCGTAGTTTAGTATGAATTTTTTCGAAGATTGCCTCTCGTACGGTTTTAGCGCTTTTCTTTGCAACCGTAATTGTTACCAGATATTTGGTAAAGTCGCAGATAAGTGTTATCGCGTATTCGCTGCCTCTTTCCATCTTTGGGCCGATGGTATCAATTACAACTGTGCCAAAAGCAGTTGCTGATGTTGGTGTTAGGGTCATTCTATATGCTTTTCACAGTGAATTTTTTCTTTAAGATTTGGAGAATTGTATTTCCACCGCAGAATTTGGGGGTTCATGGATTTGTGTAAAGACAAGGCACATTTTATCGCTCGTATTTGTTTTACTGTCAAAGCGTTTAAATGAGACTTGGGTTGACATGCATCTCTTTCTGCATGGACGCCAGCAGCGTTTATGCATGTGCAATGCATAACGAAACAACATTTATTACTGGAAGATCACACCTTTTAGCGATGGCGACCAAAGAATTGCAAAAAGGCTTAGATTGCATGTCAATCGTATTAAAATTTATAAATGATTCTATGCACCAAGCGGCTATAACAGGATTTCCGTCCGATCTCACGCAGCATGGCGATTTATTATTGCAATATTGCAATGATTCTTTCCAAGTTTGGTCCGAATCGTAACGAGATATACGTTTACGATACCATATACTACAACAAACACATATGCTTTTTTGTCAAAAATCCATTTTGTTTTGTAAACGAACCCCAAACCCTGGCCACAATAAGCGCTCCTTCTGTAAACAACGGCAGTGTGAAACGCAGCGTCGTCGACATTATGAGTTAAGTAAACACGCCATGATTTTATGTTTTTTGTTGTTTTTATATATACCTACCGTTGTTAGTGTCACTAATTTGTAGATCTGAACGTTCAGAAAGTTTTCTATTTGCTCAATATATGTAAATAACGATTTTAATGCAACAAAAAATGCATAAAAAATAATTTCCAGATTTTCTTTAGAGGAAAGTAGCTTCGTGATTGTCGGAACAAATTTCGGGGAAGTCTCCCATTGACAACCATCGGTCGATGGAGACCGTAAATAGGACAAGGCAAAGAGTGGTCCCGGTCACAAAATCAGTCCTTTGGGTAAATAGGTTTCGTTCGCCTGCTGATCCTTATATGGGGTAAAGCACGCGCTTTTTTTTGTTCGTAATCGCCTATGATGTGTCTATGGAATAAATTTTAAATCCCCCATTTCTCCCGAACTAGCCAATCCATCAACAACGCGCGCGCTCCTTCTTTACAGCTTCAAATCCTTTTAAACCACCCAAGTGGGGACCGAAACTCAAAAATTTAAAGGTTCTATGTAGATAGACATAAGGATAAACACACCCAACGTTCCAAATTACGAAATTTTTTCACAACAAAAATAAGTGAAGTAAGTGAGTATTTTAAATCTTTTCAAAAAAAAAAAGACAAAAATGATTTGAACTGAAACAACAAAGTGCAAATGGCTTGAATTTTAACACATTAAAAACAATTAAGAACATAACAGACGCATTGCAAATTTTCTTGAATGGCTGGCTAGCCTGTAGGCGTACAACATTATAAACTTAACATTTACAATAATAATAATAAATAAATACAAGCCCCGTTTATACATAATGTACTGTGAGGAAACAAAGTCGTCCCTTGTTTTGGGCTCACAGGCCAAACGGGAAGTGATTCTAAGCAACTCAACACGGATATCAACATACTTTGAAAGCAATTTTAAATCTTTTTTAACCCAGTTAAAGGAAATTTCTCATTGAGGCTTTCTTTTTTAATTCTCTCAAATCAATCACTACCATTTTTTAATGAGTTTCCTCTGATACTACAAGAAAAAGTGCATTATAAGAATTGGCATTTATGGACGGTTATATTATATTATCGTTTAAAAGGTTGTAAACTCGGCTATCAATTTCATCCAGAAGAGAATGTGTGAATCTGTAGTTTTTTTGCATAAAAATAAGTTTTGTTACCCCCATGCAGAGTTCGAGAACAGAAATGATTTTACTAGTGTTTTTCATACAAATTCAACTGGCATGCTTTCTCTCCTTATATTTTACTAGTGTTTTTCATACAAATTCAATTGGCACACTTTCTCTCAATGATTTCTGATAAATTTGCGCGGAACGCTTTCTCTCAATGATTTCTTAATGAAAAGACAACCAAAAAAATTTTAAATTTGATAGTTGAAATTATTTCACCAGTTCCCAAACTTAAGAAAATACCCAATATATTTTCTTTTTTCATCTGATGAGTGTCTTCTTCGTCTCTTTGATAGTATAAAGATTGGCATCAAATATTTCCACCTTCTCCGTAGTCAATATGGAAAGGCCGGCAATTCTTTTTCCTTGTTTGTTATTATTCGTCGATTATATTCAAATATTGACTAACGATAAATAAAATTTATATGTAATGCTCCTTGCACCCAATTATTGGGAAATGATGTTTCAAATTGGGAGATGTAGAAAATTACAAAATATTAACAGATTTTCATGTATATATAAGGTTCTTTACGTCGTTCTGTTAAACGAAATAAAATTCGGATAAAAAACATAAGCAAATTAACCTAAAAAATATATGTTCTTACTTAGGTTATAAACGGCAAGTGACATTTTCAAACCTATATTCAAATATTGCATTTACATCATTTCGTAGGGGCTGACGAAATAAAGCTTCGCTTATGTTCTACGTGTAGCGCACAAATTTATGGACATAGTATATGGAAGTAATATCAGTATTTATAAATTATATTTATCTCCTATTTTATGAACAATATGAATACAAGCGAACCTCCTACGGGTGTCAATAGAGACAAGCGCTTATATCGACTTTTAAGTATTTCCGTTGGAGTTCACAAAGCTTTATAAACCTGTGTATAATACTTTGTCGGTTCGTTAATTTGTTCACATTTTCACTCAAAATTATTTCAACTACCTTGGATTTGTTTTATAGGTTTTAGGTTCATCTATGTAGTAATTGTTTGACGGTGGCTTGATATTCATAAGATCCCTTATTTTTTAATAAAGTAGTTAACTACATTTTAAAACTCTTCCTCACAGTGCTGATTTGCGAATCCATTAAAGTAGGAGGCAAATTTGAATTCAAATATTTAAAAGTTTCTATCACCGAACCTTTAAAACCCATAAAATTCGTTCTTCGCTTAGCTATGGTACACAACTGCCGGCGCAAGCTATTAAATTTACCGAACATATTAAAGGCTTCTTCAGTTTCAATATTCTAATGTTTTCGGAAACCTTTTGCAAACAGAAATCGTTATCCTTTTTCTGAGCATCCTTATCAGGGTAACTTTGAAGACCAACAATCCGCTCCAAAAACTTAATTGCATTTGTGCGCATGCCATCATCGTCATTATATATCCTATAAAGATCACATGAATTTTTGTTCCTGGAGGAAAGGTGGAAGTCATTCAAGTCAAGTTATGCATGATAATGTAAAGTTTTTTGTCACAAATCCGCTTTGCCCACCTAAAAGTAAAAAAAAATTTGCAGCTTTTATTATGATATAAATGAAGCCCCGCTTATACATGCATATATCAATAATACAAAAATGTAAATAACATTAAGAAATAATATAAAATATAACACAAATAAATAACATATATAAATAAATAAATAAAACAGCATCGCTGTTTGTGAGACGCTGTGTTATCTGCAATGGAAAAATTTTGTGATTACTGAATTTCATAGAAAATGATGAACAAGAACTTACAAGAATATTGCATTCTGATGAAGCAATGAGCAAAGGCGTATGCTTCATTTTTATTCTAAAATAAAAATAAGTACCTAAAATAAAATAAAAGTAAGTCAGGTCTTTACTTTTACTATATAAATTCCGAATGATTCGTTTGTTTTATAAGCTCAAATAGAACAAAAATGAATGAATAAATGATAAATATCGAAATATGTAACAATATATATACCTTAAAATGAAGTGACGTTTTTGTCCGAGGGCTCTCTAAAGTTCTTTCTTTCCTGTTAGTAGCATAAAGAGTATATATCCAAGCAAATTGTTGCGGTGCTGCTACAGGAACCTGCTGCCCCGAAGAAAGCAAGCCGCAATAGCACCACAGCTGTGGTGCATTGTGATCCATTCTAAACAAAAGTGTATGTTTTTAGTGGCGAAAATTCAACTCAATGCAATTCAATTAGTTTCAGCAAATCACAAGTACACAAAGAAGTTGTAAGAAGTGAGTAATTGCGAACAAATATTAAGAAAAAGGAATTAAAAAGTTTAAAAATTAGAAAATGAAATTTGAGAAACATTTACATAAAACTAAAATAAGAAAAAACTCAAAAATTTTTAAGATTATAAATTGATTTTAGGTGCATTTATTTCCATTATTCGTTAGCAGCATCGCAAAAAAACGCGCCTAGTTCGGCATTCTGGGACCAGAGGGGATGCATGCCTTTATACAGCGTACCATCCTGAATTGCCTATTTTGTGCAGTTTCTCAATGATATACAGACTGCAACACTCCAAGGTGCAGTAAACGCGAGGTTATTTTTATTATATACTTATAGTATATATTATATATATTCTCGAATTTCTTTCTCCTTATTTTTTTTTCTAATTACAATATTATATCAAATTTACTTTATTGAACCATTTCTTCACGAAGATCTCGAATTTATACGACAAAGCATAGAAGACGAGCGACTTACCGGAGTTTCACCAACAGTAGCACGTGGATGGAGCTTAAAGGTAATCTGGAAATTACCAAAAATTATTTGGTGGTTAATTTTATGGCGGACCAGCTAGCTATGGACATCGGTCTAACAATTGCCAACTTCACTAAAGTTATGGACGAGCTGTTGGAGACTTACCCTGGCATAACCATCTAGCCCACGGCACCCGGAAAAGGACTAGGTCGTCAGTGAAAATAATGAAGCTGGCGGAAAGTCTGAAGAACATCTCGTTTCAAAGTGGTCAAGCGGCTTCAGCACCGACAACGATTACTTTCTCATCAAAAACATGGGCTACACAATTGTAGTCTAGGCCGAACAAGATTTTAGGCCATTCGACCTCGAAGGGAAGGTATTCGTCGATCTCATGCTAAACCAACTATCCACCAGAGAAGATAGCTACCTGCGGCTATTCACAGGAAACGGGATCGCGCGATACATCCGTTTTTCATTTCAGTTTGACGCAACTACCATTCTACAGCTGTTACTCTCTGAAACAATGTTATTGTTATTTATCATTCTCTTGTAAATAATGCAACATTTTCAAAAATGAAGAAAAAAAAAGAAAACAAAAATACATAATAGAGAAACGGATAAAAAGTTTTTAGCTAAAAAAAAATATATATATAATTTTTTTCCCAAACTTTGATTTTTTTTTCACATATTAATCAAAATGGGTTCCACAATTTAAGTTCTACCTACGGGTTCTTTCCACAAGTTAAGCTCCACCTACGAGGAGTGTTTCTTAATTTATTTAAAAATTGAATCGAATCAATTAAGATTTGTTTAGGTTTTAAAGTTTTTTTTTTTATGTTGAACTTATGTTTGAGGAGCGATTTACTAAAAATATTTCGAAACATCGTTGGTTCTACGAAAAGTGTGTAGCCACTATCGCAGTAAGCACGCCAGAGGGAAAGCGTGGGCAGAAATGGCGAAAATTGGGCACGTTTGGTAAACAAAGCTTATATAATTATACAGTTTGGAAGGAATTATTTTGCTTCCTTACTGATAACACATCTATCCGTATAACTGTCCGCCCACAGTGCCAAATATCGCTCACGCGTAACCAAGTAAATTCTAGAAGCCGTTGGTCCAGCTATCCGATCCGCCCGTTAAGTTACACGTGGAAGTGTGGGTACCCCTCTGTCAACTGTTTCCTTAGCGTAGGTGTGGTTTAAACATGTATAAAAATATCTTATGTTTATAAACCTGTCTCAAATCTTCGCACAACATGGATATATTATACTTTATGATATTTATGGCCGCGGATATTTATGAAAAACAAATCGAAGAACAATTATTGCCTATGTTATGGAGTTGAGGAATAAATAATAAACAAATATGTAGTGCATATTTCAAACAAAATAAAATATTTCTCTGTGCCAGGCAGAATATTTCATTAATGGCTGTTTGAAAATAAACAAAAGCTCAGAGAAATTCTCCCCGCAACATTTTTATTTCTTTATGTTTCTATGGCACGTATTTCAAAAGCTTATCAACTAATTTTAGGATATCAAAGTGTTTATCTACAAATGTTCTGCAGCCGCGGAATATTATGTATTGCTGCCCTTGTGGAGATAAGACCATGAATTTTGTAATTGATGTAATTAAAGTTGGGAGGCAGTGCTATTCAGCAAACATAAACGTACCAACGTTCAACATTTAACTTTCAGCGAAGGTTACTCTCTAAGCTGCAACTGAAATCCTATATAGAAGACATTGTAAAGAACGTTCCGAGTTCATTGCAAGACAATGAATGGAAAACTTTCCTTTGCCTTTTCTATGATCTCCTTATGAGTAAATAAATTGCAATGTTTCACTTGGAAAACATAAAAAGAATTGTTTCCAGCGTGCCAGTAGCTTCTAGTCTTAAGCTTACTTTTAACTTTTTGTTATTTGATAAAAAACATGAGTGAGGCGTGCACTTCTCGTGTTGGAAAGGTCGGCTTCAGATATTTGCTCTAGCCCATCACAACTTTCCGACCGCTCACCTGTTTGCAAATGGCTTGTTCCTCTAGCGTGAAATCGTTTATACACGTTTGGCATGCTAGCTGCTCATGGTTGTAGCGCGCGATTCCGTACCCAGCGAGCAGCCGCTTCTTTATCGCTGAGGTGACCTGTATTGAGATTCTTGAAGGATACTCCCATTGCGGTCAGATTGTGCGAAATCCATTTTGTTTGTGAAGACGTGGTCGACATCCGTTCCGAAGCCGCTTGCCCACTTGCAGACCTGGAAGGTCGTCAGTTTTCCTATCAAAGTAGCAATTTCCGCTGATGACTTCGTCTTCGGTAGCGATGTAGCAGAAAAAACTGGTTATGACAGCTTTGTAGAGGGTATTAGTGTGGTGATGACAGATTTGTGGAAGGTATTAGTGTGGTTATGACAGTTTGGTGGAAGGTATTAGTGTGGTTATGATAGTTTGGTGGAAGGTATTAGTGTGCTTATGACAGGTTTGCAGAGGGTATTAGTGTGGCTATAACAGGTTTGTGGACGGTATTAGTGTCGGCAAAATTGTGTACCGTTAGCCTTGCGTCTGCCGATTAGAGGTCTGTTTTTAAATACTGCTCCAAATAGTCGCTGACTTCTTGCAATTTGCATTTGAGCTCGGTCCATGTGCTGGTGGTTATGGAGCTCCGGCGGACGACGTTCATGAACTGGATAAGTACTGCAATTAGATCACAAGTACTCTGTGCCGTTTCAACATCGTCGTCAAAGAGATTGTGGTTTATCGTCGCCTGTGGAGTCGCTGGATAAATGTCGTTGAAAAATTGGACCATAGGCGCCTTTTTTACGGTCTTATCATTAAAGAATATCCTGGTACTATTTTTCTGTATTTTACTCATGAACGCATACAGGACGAGCGGCTAATCGTACAGCACTCGTGTACGCTGTATGTGCCGTCTTTACGCTTCCTCAAGTATATTCCATTTGAAAATTTTTTTGTGGCGTTGTTGTTGACCGGCTACCTATCGCAGACGAAGGCTTTGATGACTAGACCAACATCCTCCGCAAATTAAAGATTCTCTTTTAATTTTTTACCTAGTAGTAGATGCTTCTAAATCGTCAACGGGAACCGCGGTGCACCACATTGAACGCTGTCAACAGGCTTCGCACTCCGAAGACAAGGACAGTTTGGTGTTTCTCGGACTTCGTAACGCTGCTGTTGCTATACTCGCACCCATGTACTTTGTCTTCCGCTCGATAATACGACGTCCGAATTTTTCATGGAGAGTCAGCTTCTCCCTGACTTTTTTAAGCACCTCCTTTCCCGTAATGCTATCCGCTTCATCCGCTGAATTTCCTTCTGCAAGACTTCCACTTCCGCCTTAAGGCGGTGCATTCGCTCTGTTAGAGCCGCCTGAGCCGATGTCGAGGATCCCGATGGATAAATTACTTCTAAGATGTATGGTCTCAAGTTAGCGCGGTCTTTACCTCTATCGTATTCTCTACATGTGGCATCTCCCTCAATTCTTCTACCCCCTCTATCCTATCTTGCACCATCAGTTCTTCGGCAGTGTCGATGTTATGTATTGTCACTGTTTGTAATGTTTGCTCCGTATTGTGCCCGTGTACTATTATTTCGATCTTTATAATCTGCACCACGCGCATCAGTCCGAGCTCGTCGACAAACCACCTATACGTCCAGAGTGATGTGCGAATGCTGCTCTATCTATTGTATGTATACCTAAGTGCGCCCATCTTCTGCCTAACTGTGTCTGCGTAAACTACCTGGCTAATTTGCAAGCTAAGTTCATCAGCTATGTCGTCCCACACTTTCGTTGCATTCCCTTTTCTATACCCTTCCTTATCCCACAACACGGTGTATTTTTTCAACATTTGTGAAAAAATAACACCAGGTGTATGTGCCACAACTTAACAAGTATAATAATAATATACTAATAAAATATACTAATATATAGTTATAATACATAATATGATATAAATAAAATATATATTGTGAGGACCCCAAGTCGTCCCTCGTTTTGGCCTCACGGATCCTCCGTCTCTGGTGGGGTAGAGAGAGTACTAGTTTAAGTTAAAGAGTAAGTTAGCATAAGAATAGGATAGGAATAGAATAAGAATAGGGTTAGGATATAGAATAAGAATAGGTTAACACTAGGGTAGAGTAGAATAAGAATAATTTAGGGAGTCTAAGTTTGACCGTCGTCGTGGATAGTCTTGCTTCAGCATCGTTGAGAGCGAGTCATAATAGTAATAATAAAATTGAAATATCAAATTCAACAATAAAGGTCCATGTAAAAAATAAATTTTCTTGTGTTTTTCTGGGCCGCTGAGCTGCCCAGAATTTGAATTTGAAGTTTTTTTACAATACTTTGAAGGAAACACAACGTTTTCTTGCTAATTTTTAACAAATAATCACTCCGCTATTCTGTATACTATACACATATATACACATCTATATATATATATATATTTTTTTTTTTTTTTTTGTGAGGTGGAAGACCATCAAAAGGCGCCCATTAGGGCAGTGCGAGACTTTAACCCGCTAAAAACCACCTCTCCTATTCCCTACCCTGTGGCACGACCGTTTAGGTATACCTTCACAGGGAGGGTAGCCGTTTAGGCACTACTTAAAACCCTACGATGACGCTCTTCGTGTCTTTGTTTACGCATAATGTTTGCGGCGAACATTTCTACCGCCTTCCATATTTTGAGGTCATGCAACATATTTGTCACAAGATTGTCGGGGAGAGGTAACACTCCAATTTCCGTCTGTAGTCTCTGTCGTTCGTTATAGTATTTCGCACAGACGAAGAAAACATGTTCAGCGTCTTCGATGCACTTACAAAAATTGCTTAATGGGGGGGTATTTTATATCTATTCAGATAGGACCAAAAGCCGTGGCCGCTAAATACCTGGGTCAAATAAAAGTCGCCCTGACCATGTTGCCTATTCACCCAGGGCCGTAAGTCTGGTATGAGTCGATGCGTCTATCTACCTTTACCCGCTCTGCTCCAGCGCTTCTGCCACTCTTCCAACAGACGCTGTTTTACTCGATGCTTAGCCGCTTCAGCTGGCAGTCTGTGAAATTCGGCTATATACAGACCTTCTTTACCACGCAGATCGATTGGCATCATACCAGCGATAACCAGGGCCGCTTCGTCCGACACCGTCCGATATCCGGCGCACACCCTTAGAGCGCATAGCCTGCATGCTGCTTGTATGTTTCTCGTGTATGACGGGATAGCGAAAGCCTTGTTCCACACAGAAGAGCCGTACATTATTATCGCCGTTACCACATCTGCGATCAGCTTCCTACGGTCTTGCCTA